TTCAGCACAAAAAGAACAGCCCAGCAACAACTAACCCAGCTTGTCATTTCCTTTATTACGGCTTGGAAGCCAGTTGGTCCCCTTGTGGGACTGAGGCTAGTGCACTCACAAAAATACACTGTTTTCTTGCCAAATGGACACATTTGAAAAAGTTGTTATTTCGTCACGATGAGACATTTAATTTGCCTTACCATCTAACAGATAAAATGAAAGAAAAAAGGGGCTCTAAACCACAGCACTGACTTTCCCAGCTTCCGAGCTCCTCTTCCTCAGATAACACATTTCCTACATTAACGAGATGGAGGCACTCATGTGTGGTGCAATAAAGACAAAATCAAGCCTTCTTTCGCAGTGTTCTGTCAGATCCTCCAGGAGAATCTGTGGCTGCATTTTTTATGCTCTGATTCAGGATTGTACTGGAGGAAGATATAAAAAATCAGAGTTCATTATTGACAGACTCATTTGGAGGATGAAATTTCTAAGGATTATAACACTACCAAAACATAATTAAGCAGAGGGTGAAAAGACTAAAAGCCTACTAAAGTCTTTGAGCGTTCTCTTTGGCTGCTATTTTTTCTTTCACTGAGCTCAATGGAATGCAGATTTGACTTTAACTGCATGAACTAAATTTGTCCACAGCTTTACTGATGAGATTGTTCATCCTGTTTTTCACCCTAGCATGAAGCTTTCGTTGCTAGTGAGATGAAAACATGTAATTAATCAGGAGTTCTACAATAGCATGCATGCCCTGTATTAAAAGTATGAATCAGGCCACATGGGTTCCTTGCCTCTTTTTATGAAATCTTGTTGTGTCTTCTCTTCCTCATTATCTCTCAGAAATGAAAACCAGGAGCCAAAATTCACAGTCCAGAGTTCCTCCCATGTGGGACTCAGGCAGATAGTACTTTTAATATGCTATGCAAATAAAGCTCTTACAGTGAAGTTGTCACTTCCCTCATATTTAGTTCAGCATGTCAAATCCATGAGTCTCCTGGATGCTACTCAGCTTTCATTTTAAAAACTCTTTAGAACAGGTATTTCTTCCTATTCCCCCCCTTCTGAAAAGGAAGATACAACAGTAGGCTGTGCATTTTTAGTTTGCAAAAACAGATCATGGATAGGACACCTAAAGCTAGAGGTCTGCTGGATGTACAAATTGGAGCAAGTCAACACAGTCTTTTCTTATAGTCAAATTGAAGAAAAAGAAGAAGTTCTACAAAATAGTTAATATGACTTATGTTAGAATGGGAAGGATAATGCTCTAAAAATGTCTTAATACAAAGAGCCCGGGGTGACAGCCTCTGTCATAGATATGGATGTCTACATCCTGTGAGATGATACATGCACAGTGCCCGGAAAACATTTCCATTCTATGTTCTCTTCTTTGCCAATTTCTACAGGAGGCAAAATTGTGCACTTGCTCCACAGAAATGCAGCTGGAATTCTGCAGAAACATAAATTAAAACTTTTATCATCCTTCTTCTTTTTCCACCTGTAAACCTACTACAAAGCTTCATTTTATATGGCATCATTTAGAAGAAGTGTAGCTCAAAAACCAAACATGTAATTAAATAAATATGGAGATAAATCAGCATTGAGAGGAAGGAAACAATGAAGTGATTTAGACAAGGAAAACAGATACTTGTTCTCACTGGATGTTTGATGAACAAGTGTAAGTCAATGAGGCAGAGGAAGGCTGTTCCAAAAGACTGGAGCCTCAGAGGAGAAGTTCCTGACACTAATAGCTGTAGATGTCTGACATTAATAGCTGTAGATGCGTGTTGAGGCACTGTTACAATCTGCCCCAAAAGGTGAGAGTAACCCAGGTTCTTGTTAATAGATCCCTTGGGATGGATTGGAGTGAAATGACACTGAATGATTGGTGTTTGTAAATGCATATATGTGTAGGGTTTATTTTTGCAAAGGAAAACAGATACGTAGCTGTTTTGGTTGTTATTGCCTATGGTAATATAGCAATATAAAAGCATAAAAATAACACTTAAGAAAATATATAGGGAAAAGAAAGAGAAAGAAAGGATAGAAGTAGAAAGATATATAGTTACCATCCACTGGATCCAGTGATGAGACTTAGTAGTTGCAATTTCCATGTCTGTTGGTTGAAGTGATGGTTGCAGTCCTGTCAAAGTGATGGTCTTGCTATTTCTTTGCAGTTTGCTACAGTGGACAAAAGTCTTTTGGTGAACTTAACAACATCTAAACCATTAACCATTTCAGCCTCTGACAGGCACACAGGAAAGTTGAAAGATGTGGAGGAGGGAGTGGACAACAGAGAAGGTCTCTAAAGGGGCACCTACAGACTCCCTTCCAATGGAGGTTTAAAATGGAATCCAAGTTGCAATTTAGGAAGCAACCTCTCTCTGCCTGATAGCAGCATGGAGTAAGCCCAGCAGGTTGGAAAGATGGACCATGACTACTGGAAACATATGTAAAAAACTTCAGTACCTACCAGAAAAAAAAAATAAAATTCTTTGTTGAGGCACAGTCACTCCTGCAAAAAGCTATAGCTTTTTATCTTTGCAGTTAGTTTTGCCTCCAGTTGGTTTATAATGCTCACTACCAGGTTCTCTTCCCATTAATGTTCTTCCAGTAAACATTCTCTGATGTGCACTAAAGGATCCATCAATTACTCATATTAAAGCAGCACCCTTATTTCTTTTAACAATTAGATTAAACTGTTTATGGAAGCTGCTGACCTTGGCTGGTCACTAATGAGACATTTGGTTCATTACCTTGTATTTTTTTCTCTGCTAAACCATCAGTTAGAAGGGCTCAGATGTAAATGCTCCAAGGTCCTTATAAGATTCTATCAGGTGAGACAAGAATAAAATGTGTGAATAAAAGTTTGAAAGTTTCCAAAGATGGAAAGTTAAAATAAAATATTAGAGAAAAGGTCTATTTTGCTCCTTTCATTGGTACAAATCATGAGTTTTACAAATGCATTTTTTAAAGACATCATTTACTGGAGAAAGTGGGCAGCTGAGAAGAGAATCAGCCTTCATGAATCAGCTACGACTTAGAAACAAAGCATTTGTATCACAAGTAATTAATTCTGCTGAGATATATTTAAATTGCAAATGCAGGAGGGAGATAATTTCAATTCTGCCCTGTTCATCACAAACTCCACCCTATCCCAAATCTATCAGCATCAGATCCAATCACAAAACATGCAGAACAATGTCATCACAACAAATCTTAATTAGGGGATGATAGACAAAGGGCATGGCACTCTTTCTAATCCAGAGGGTTATGTTCCTTTCAAATTAACATTTCAAAAGGCATCTCATGGAGTAAAGCCTTGGCCTTTTCCATCAGTTCTTTAGATTCCGGACATTACAGAAGGAAGGGACCTGTGTGAAATTATGAACTGGCAGGCTGCTTGTATAAAACAGAGTTTTATCTAGAA